GGCCTCCCACAGGACTCGCAACAAGTTAAGTAACACTTATTGTGCTCCTACTTTGTGCAGGGTTGCAGGGATCTCACCATTGAACAAGCCAGGGATCCTGCCCAGCAAAGTTTTCACAGCCTAAGGGAGAACACCCTGTAAATTATACAGTAGGATGACAGAAATAAGGAAGGCTGATGTGAGAACCCAGAGGGGTCACAACTTGGGAAAGGAGGAGGTGGGGGAGTGCCTCCAGGGCCTGACTCTGGGGTCAGCCATGAGAAGGGTGCAAGGTGTTCCAGGTACAGGGAGGTATTAGTCACTCAGCATCCTGAGCCACTAGAATACTCCTGTTTTGAGTTGGCCCAGAGAGGGGGTAGTGGGAGTTAGGGAAAAAAGGGTGAATGCATTTCACAAGGAGGGGGCTTTAACCAAAGCAGTGGCACAGCCTGAATGAAAGACTTGCTTAGAGCAGTTGGGAGTGGAAGAACAGTGGGGCTTTTTCTAACCCATGTGGCACCCCAGAACATTAATACCGCAGGCTTCTACTTTTCTATGTGGGTAGAATCAAAATCATTGCTCCCTTTTCATTTCCCCACGCTGTCGCTGTGAGCACCTACACAAAAGGAGGCCAGTTTTATAGGCTGAATGCTCTGCGTTCTGTCCTGCACAATGAAAACGGTTAATCAGAATTGCTGTGTGAACCACTGGTTTTCATTGATTCAGAAGCGCTTTAGTGCTTTAATAAATCTGGCTGACTTCACTTCCCCTGACTCTGAATTACTCTAAAAAAACCAAATAACAAAAAAGCATGTGTTATATAATGTTTAAAGTACTAACACTATTCTGACCATGGTCCTCCCCTCCGAAAACACCATTTTTTCCCCCTGATTATAATAGTAATACACACTCTTTGTGGAAAATTTGGAAAACGCACTGAAGTTGTAAAAGAAATAATTGTTATCAACATTTTGATCTATTTCCTACCAGGATTTCTGCAATGTACATAAGTTTTAAAATCCCATTTTTTCCTCCTAACATAATATTCTATTATCTTTTGTTATTAAAGTAACTTTTATTGTTTCTTCTTTTTACTGAAGTATTACATTTTTCCCTGGAGAAAATGCTGAAAAAAAATTAAAATCATTTCCAATTACCATCCAGAGGCAATGTTAATAGTTGCGTTGTCTTTTCAATCTCGTTTCTAGGCATATATTCGGGGGGGGGGGAATTATTAAATACTCCATGATATTCCTTCATTTGGATGCAGCATGACTTAGCTAAGCATCTCCTTATGTTGGGCATTAAGGTTACTTTCCATTAATTGTGCTATGATAAAACATCCTTTACAGTGGCTTTTTCCATTATGCTTTTTTTTCCTTTGAAATGTATGGATTTTCTACAGTTAATTTCATCCATTCAACTCTTGAGAGAAAGCTGAAATAAAGGGATGGGGGAAAATGTAATACGTAACTTTTGCTTAAGAGTCCATCTTGATTTTAAATACATTTTCCTCAAAATGGAAGAGAACTCTTACATAGACAGATGGGGTAATGAAAACATTCTAAAATCCTACATAGGTATTTAAAAATACAACTTAAATTTAGTTAATAAAGCAGCAATGAACTCTTCCAATTTTTGAAGATCAAAATCTTCCAACAATGAGTCTGAGCAACAATTTAAAATAATTTCTTTTCTTTTTTTTTTTTTTTTAAGCTGAGCCATCCTGCCACCTGTTGGCAGCTCAGCGGCTGCTCAGCTCGGGCGGGGTATCGAACCGCTGTTGCTCTGAGCTCAAATTCTTGAGTGAGCTCTTAACCAACTGAGCCACTCGGCAGGCCCTTTAAAATAATTTCTTAATTCTAAATCTGCCTCAGCATGACAGGACACTGACCACTGCTAAAAACTGGCTAGACGAAATGAACAAGAAACGTGCTACTTCTGATGCAACACCAAAGATATAACAATTGCTGGGTCAGTGATAAGGGTATAGACCTCACTGTACGTTTAAAGAAAACAACAAAACAATGTTAAAAGAAATGGATGACCCTCTTCAAAAGCATGCCAGAAATACTTCCATTCTGGTACAAGGGCTAGAAGGTAGAAGCTGGAAGGGCAGGAAGGATGTGGTGCAGATATTTGTGCTACGATTGTTTCTAAGACATCCATCTCCCTGAGAGCACAGACGTGGGGCCTGGTGCGTGCTTTCAATTTTTCTGTAACTCAAATACAAACAGCTAATCAAAAGAGAAACTACATGTACAAAAACAATTCAGTTGGCTGCCCTGCTGGGGCCTATCTTTACAGAAAAGTATTGTCAGTGGATCCTGGGAATTTTCATTTCTATGGAAAATTCACTTTGTGTATTATTATAATTTACAAATCATCTTCACCACCACCATCTCATTTGGTGACAACCTCATATAGCAGAAAGGGCAGGTATTATCCCCATTTCATAAATGGAAAAACTGAGGCTCAGAAATTAAATGATTTGCCCCAAGTTACATAGCTAGCAAATGATGGAATAGGATTGCATGCAACGCTAGGGCTTCTCCTAGTCTACAGGTCATCCCCCGGAGCCTGCACGTGTTCACCTGGACAGGCTCTGGAGAAGAGGAACATGTCCAGGGTCCTTTTAAAGGACTGGATAGAGTGCCCTCATACCTGGGCCCCAGCAAGCAGCACAGCAAGGGAACAAGCCGAGGAAACATGACTCACAAGCATCCACCTCAGACGCTGGGTCATGGGGTAACAAAAGGGTTCAACTATCAGGGAGAGATGAGAACACACATCTGAGTTTACAGATTAGCTGCACTGAACAGTCTCACAACTTTCATAAATGAGGAACCAGGTTCAAGGGTTAAGTGACTTCCCAGGCAAAGGGATCTTGTTGAGTTTTCCTCACAAAATCTGAATTGAGGTCATCATCCCTCATGTCATAGTAATACAGCCAGGTGGTGACAGTCACAGTACCTGGCTTTTAGGAGCCGGCACTCAGTCTTTCTGGAAGGTCCTTGAGCTCCAATCTGGCTAGAGAATGAGCCTCTTGCCTAGTCACAGGCTTTCTGCGGAGGCCATCAGGGCCTCATTAGGATTAAGTGCCAGGAGGGTTTAGACAGAACCCTCTAGGTTCGGTCCTGAGCTGCTGCCTAATTTAATAGGGCCTTTTACCTCCTTAGCAGGCTTACTGAGCAGAATGTTTTCCCTTCTGGGAGATGATCAGACATCCCTGGTACAGCCCGTTCAGTGCTCCTGTCCTTGTTAGTGGAGTCAACACACTAATCTTCCTCACTCGTATCTGCAGGCATCGGATCCCGCCAAATGGCATGCAAGTCCTAGTGCAATAAAGCAACGTAATCCAGTTTCCTTCCCAATGTCTAACTTCGAGCAAAGGAGAACTAGAAAAATGGATCAGCACAAAGTGACAGGATAAGGCAGAACTCAGGGACTTAGATCAGCCAAGCTCGTGACCTCTGCTTTCAACTCTGCCATTAAATTGGAAACGTGCCAAACCACGATCATGAATGAGAAGAGCCCCCAAAGCAGCCGCTCAAACTCTGCAGCAAGCAGGCCACGGCGGAGGTCAGGAGAGGCAAAGCAACACACAAGAGAAGTGCCACTGCATTCGTGACAAACATGAGGTTCAGCTTCAAAACCATGGTGGTCTGCTGGAAAGCAGTCCAGGGCAGGAGTTGGGCAGGTTTCAGACGGGCCCCAGTGAAACGGGCTGCAGGGGGGCCTGACTTGAAGAATCTGGTACACAGCTGTGCTAGAGTCCCACTTCCCCCTGCAGTCTGGGCTCAAAGACTGTAGCATCCTGTGTAACCACAGTAACCACCAGCACTGCTTTCTTAGATGACAAATATTGATTGAGGGTCAAGTAAGCTGCTCTCATGACAGACAGCTTGGTCACTCACAAAGGCAGAATTCTTCCCTCACCCGAGACCCAGAGTTGGCTCCCGGCCAATGCAACTGAGAGGGGCAGGGTGGCAAGGGAGAAGGGCTCCAGAGTGGGACTTAGGAACCGTGGAGCCTACTCCCCGCCTGCTTCTGACCAGCTGCACTGAACCGGGCAAGCGATTTCCCCTGTCTGGGCTCAGACCCCTTACCCATAAAACGATGGGGTTACCACAAATCACTATGGTCTCCTCGACTTCAAAACGTCAGTGTTGTATGGATCCCATGAAATTAGCTAAAGAGGCCCTTTTGATGGAAATGTAAAGTATGGGATTGCCGAATGCTCAGGAAAACCTTACGTTCAAAAGGAAAGGAAAGAATGGAAAGAAAAATGAAAGCAGGAGAGCCGCTTCAAATTGAAACTCTTTGGTCATGAGAATAGCAAAGCAATGAGTTCAGAGAGTTTGGGAGGAATAGGAAAGTACAAACTGCAAAACAGGAAATCCATTCTTGGCTGGCTGTCAAAGTGCCATAAGCTGGTGAAAATTTAGATCCATTTTAATTTTTTATTTCTTAATACCAATAAAATCCCCAAATTAGTGAGTTACTGAGATGCTTGCTGTCAAAACACAGAATTACTGCCCCATCCCAGGCTTTTTAATCACCCTTGATTTCCTCAGTCTTATGTCTGAGGGTATGATGGTATAAGAACTGCTGGTCCCACCTCGTCCCTGTGGCTGGGACTGACCTACTCACCATCATAACCACTTTTTTATGGACAATGACCTTTTTTTATGAACCATTTTATGGCCTTGTTATTACAGTTCCACATATACCGACCTTACCTCTCCAAGTAGCATATCAGCCCTTGAACTTGCAGAGACCCCAATTTCCACATCTTAAGATTCCTCCAGTGCCTTGGCTACAGTGGGCACTCAAATGTTTACTGAATGATCAAGAAAAGTACTTACCAGTCTCTTCAGGCACCTCAAACTAGTTGGCCAGGTTTATACATCCAACCAGAGTTTGAACTATAAAATCCTTTTTTTTTTTTAAAAAAAAAAAGGCATTATCTAGAGCTAGAAAAGCTTATAAAAATGAGCTTAACAAACACCAAAACAAGATTTCCATAGAAAGCAGAAAAATAATTTATTCCAAAAGATGGCAGAAATAAGAAATTCATCCTGAAAATATACTTTGGTGTACTTCTGTTGGGACAGATGTTCTCTTGAACTTGTTCTCCTACTGGCTGCTGCACTGGAATCTTAGTGTCTTGTGACAGCTTTGAAACACTTCACTGAATCTCATGTCGCGAGTAGGCTGGATACATCTTCAAATCCACAGGTTCCAAGGAGAGAGTGATGGGTTTCTCAGAAGAACGGCACGCACCTTCCACTTTAGAAGAGCGCATGAACATTTTATGGCATCAGCAAGAGTAGATTTAGGAGGCACATATTTCATCACAGTGTAAAAAAGGTGAGAGGAAAAAAATACTGCATTGTAGAATGAGATATTCAGATGTGGTACAGATGTTTAAGGCAGCTGATGGCCGAAACAGGCGAGTCAAGGAAGGTGGTCGATCAGGTTTGGAGGTGATGTTGCATCTAGAGGAATTCTCTTTGTGACCTGCAAAACAAAGCTGTTCTAGTAACTGGTCTTCACACCATCCTCAGGAGGGCAAGTTTACCATCAAGAGAGTCACTCAGGCCAATAATTCAAAATATATAGGTGCTCAATACACACTTGAATGATAGTGGGTTCAATTAACGTGCACACCTCGGCAGGTTTTTGCAGGGCTATGACAAGAGGTCCTGTTACCAAGGACAGAACTAAACTGAGGATCACAAGTAGGTCTGACTGTCATAAAAAGCAGGAAGGGCGAAGCTGACTAAGACCGATCGTATTGGAATCTAATGAGTTCACTTCGGTTTCAAGGGTCTGTATTTTCCCTTCCCCTCCTATAGCAAGGAAGCAGCGCTCCCACGCTTTTTGGACTCTTAGAGAGAGCTGGCTCCTTGGTACTTGAAGTTGCTCTCAGTCTGCTCCCCGTTCTTGCCACCACAAGTGTAGGTGACAAATGTGAGTTTCTTTTTCTAGAAGCTTCAAGCTGCAACACCACCTTTGCAGAGCTAGCAAACATTTAAAACAGGCATCTTCACACATCAAACTGCTAACAGTAGTCGCATAAACTCCTTTATGTAAAGCTTGTTTTATAACGTCTATATAAACAAAGCCACATATGCTACTTTTGAAATTAAAACAATAAAGAGAAACATCTTTCAAAGACAGTTTCCACACAAGGCTTGAGTTGGCAGATAAGAGAACAAGCTGGTTATAACACACAATTTGCCAGCATGTCGAGGGTTACATGCAGGTGGGGTGATGGGCTAAATTCGATGAGACAGGGTTTGTGGCAGGCAGGTCTGACAAGACTGAAGGTCAAAGAGCACGTAGAAAACCTCGAAGCTTTCCCAGTCAGTGCGCGGAGCAGGGAGAATCCTCAGTGCAGTGTGATCAGAGGTTTCCAAGGCCCGGGCTCCACGGTGCCCAGAAGCAGTCACAAGACTGCTGCTAAGTCTCACTGGGGTAAGCTGGGACCGGCCGACCGCCCCGCTGGTGGACAGCACCAGGCTGCCGGGGACCCACTAAGGTAGGACACTGCAAACAAAGTCCATTCACCTCGAGATGGAATCAGAGGGCTGTTTTTACAGTGTACTGGATTGGAATATCCACAGTGGGCTGGGCAGGGGCAGTTCCCAGAGCTTTCCAGCTTCGGGGAACCTTTCCTCTAATCTATCTATCTCTTTCTCTCCACCTCCTTGGGGCAGCAGAACAGCTTCTCTGCCCAGACCCGGGTGCCAGGAAGATTATAAAGTATTTGTGAACACTGAAGCAGTGAATACAGATGCTTCGTGTCTTAACTTTCTATGAAGAGCACACTGGTTAGGCTTCCTCAGCGTTTAGGCCTTTCTAGACAAATGAACAATCACAAAATGGAAAAATAGGTCTTCATTTTTGACAAACCACACAGAAATCGGGGATAATTTTCACTCAAGCTCAATGACGCCCAGTTTAAGATAAATGTTGAGTGTGACTGTTAATTGGATAGACTTGTGGTTTGATTTTGGGTGAATTAAAGAAGCACACATTATAATCACCTCTCTGACATGAGGTAGCCATTTGGAGGTGGGGCGAGGAACGCAACCAAAGGGCCTGCATTCTCATTCTGTAAAATAAGGGAATCGCTAAGTCGACTTGCAGATAAAACTGAGAATGAAGACAACATAGAAACCATAGAAACATGACGCCAGAACCAGGAAGTCTGTTCAGGGAGGGATGAGTGAAGATAATTTTTATTCAAGGATAGGTTGTCATGTTTATCTTTATTTTTTCATTTTAGGTAAATTCGCAAAATAATTCCTTGTTTATGGTCCCATGTAAGGGATGTATTTATTGCATGAGAGAACTACAAGAGGTATTTCAGTGAACTAAGGGTGTGTGTATTTAACAAGTCAAGGCAATGCGCCGAAAGAATGGCAGAAACTAGGGAGCTAAACACACTTAGGGAAAGAAGAAATCACCTTGAAAACAAGTGTCCGGCGAAGGAAGAGCAAACACTTACAAAGTGGACACTCAGAGAGAAGACGTCAGAAAGTAGAGAGAAAGGGGGAGTGGAGGCAAGAATGCGGAAACGATGTTTGCAGAAGAGTGTTTACTAATCTGCTTTCTAAATGAATGATTGTCATAGGGTAGCGAGAGGCAGGAAAAGCTATTTAGGTCAAGAACAGGAGAACAGTTTAGGGCTGCAACCAACAGGTCACGGAAGAAAGCAGTGAAAAGGCTGCCAAGGTGGTTTGAGGGCAGCATCAGAAGGCTTTGACCGGCAAGTTAGAAAGCTGGACATAACCTGCAGATTCGTCATTCTTATCTCTTGTGGCTCATGGGACCTTTGGTGACCCTGACAAAAAGCTGTGCTTGCAACGTTATACAGCATCTCAAGGGGCATGCCACTGAACTCAGGGACCTTGGGTTAAAAAAAATAAAACCCTGCTGTAGTCCATGGAGAAGAATGAGAGTTTCCGGGGCAAGCAGTGATCTGTTTCAGGGAGTGCTACAGGAGGAAGAAAAACAGAGTGGTGTTCTGTAGACACACTGCTCTAGAGACAAGGAAGACCCAATGAGCCACTGCAGTAACTCAGAGCTGCAGTGTCCTGGGTCATAAATTAAGGCGTCCATAGGAGGAACGGAAAGGAAAGGCAGACAGAGACATTAACAGGCCTGACTGGATTTGAGCAGGAGGAGAATGAAGTGATCGACAGTAAAAAATCCGCTGTTTCACAGAACACCTTGCACTGTTCCACTTGTCACAAGCATGGCTTCATTTCAACCTCTCAACAGATCACGAACCCCTCCAGCACCCACAGCCTTTCTTGAAATCCCCACTCAGTACCAAGTACCTCATGAGCATGCAAATATTTTTCGAATGCATAGAAAAACAGTTCTGCCAGGGCAGAAGCCTAATTACCAATACTCTCTATTCCTCCCCTGTCCAGACTTTGGAATAAGATAGAATTTCTGCCCTTTAGAACTATGGGAAATCATGTAAGCTTATCTAACGTATTATGATGGTGTGGTAAATGAACTGACATACGGGATGCTGGGTCTGCAGCCAAATCCACTCCAAGGAGACTCCATACTAGCATCACACCCTCAGGGCTGTAGGAAAATGGACATCGACCAAAACAGCAACTTTGATGTGACAGTTCCACAAGCAAGGGGGACAAGGCTTGCAGGGGCAAAGATGAAGTGAGCACTGTTCTTAGAAGTACTGGGCAAGACTCCCCAGTAAACATAATGTGCTATAACTCACCCCATCATCAATACATGAAAGAAAACCAAGGCAAGTAAAGTGACCAAAGTAACAAACCATCAGCTAGGTGTTTAACTGTGTTCTTCAGATCAAGTTGATTTCATTTGTATAAAATCACTCTAAAGCTTTCACGACTGCTCCCCATTTTTCTCTTGCTGAACACCATGTCTACCTTACATCTCCTAATTTCCAAATCTGGCCTCTTAAACAAATCATGTGCAAAATCGAACCCTTCTCCTTACCAAATGAAGACAGGCCTAAATCTGGGTTCTGCGCGCCTTTCTCATCACACTGCTGTGTACAAGTTCAAAGTTCAAAAGGGAATTTAGTGCAGTCTTTTGATTTTACCACCAAGAAAAGAGAAGGCCTGTCTTGAAGGGTTCTGTTTGCTCCAACAGTAGGCAGAAATTAGATCTCCTGTGCTGACTCCAAAGGCCTAGAGTGATGACACCACCACAATCACTACCTCATACACGGAATAAACGTAACATGATGTTCGTAACTAGGGTTAGCCTGCCTGTGCCTCCCACTTCCTCGGATTTTGCTTTTAAAGGAACAACCTTTAATATGAGGGTTTCAAGCAGCAGCCCCAGTTGATGCTGTGGACCACAGCGCAAACATTAGGAATTCTTCAACCAGGTTAACACACATGAGGCTGAAAAGAATGGGCAAATGAAACCTTCAGATCCACATGCCCAGCGTCATCCAGAGCCAAAGATGCCCAATTCTCTCATTATCAGAGAAAGTAATAAGGCTCAGAAAGGTTAAGGCAATGCTGGAACGAGGTCTGATTCTGAGACCTGAAGTCCTCAGCTTTAAAGCCCAATCATTCCTTATCTAACATCCATTGCAGTTAAACAGGAAGGATAGAAAACAGGAGACTTTGAAGAAAAAAAGGCAGGTAAAAAACAAATCTCATTAATCAGATTTTTACAAAAAATCTACATAAGAAGGAAATCAAAACTCCTTTGGGCAAAGATAGAACTGTAAGGGGGAGAAAAGCTAATTAGTTACCTATCAAATTGGCAAAAATCTAGCAAACAGGCACCCTCATAAAGCAAGCTACAAAATAGTGTGTGTGTGTGTGTGTGTGTGTGTGTGTGTGTGTGTATGTATTCCCCCCCATAATAGCTATGTGTGTGCAGAGAGGACTGGGAGACAAACACAGAGAGACAGATGTGCGCACGCGTATTTATTTGCTTATCTGCAAAATGAAACACTGCAAGGATCGACTTCTCTGAATATGTCTTATTTATAATTTTCACTTTGGAAATATATTTTACATATTCAAAAAGTAGTAGCAAATAAAAGAATTACTATGACTTGAACACAAAAGTTAAGTAAAAGCCCTGTGATGTTAAATTTGAATTAGAAATACTAACATGAACTCATGATTCTTTTTCTTCTTAAAAGTATTGGGTTGTCGGAAAAGTCATGACACATTTTTGCTACGAAAAAAATACGTCATGACTTTTTCAACAACCCAATACATACTTCCTGGCTTTCTCCAGCATAAAGGCTTAAAAGCAACAACATCCCAGAAGTAATGGACGTACCTAGCGATCAGTTCTTGGTTTTTAAATACCTTTCCCACTGCAAGGACCCAGAGCCAGCTGGGCCAGACTGACTAGCGAACCAGGATCCTTTCCGTGGGAAATTCCGAAAGCGACTGGAGGACCAGCTGATGCCAGGCCTGGTGTTGCCAGAAAGTTAGGCAACTATCGAAGACTAATATCAAAAGGGCATATAAGCCAGTGTAAGCAGGCTCCCATAGGCCAAAGAAAGAACAACTGAACATAAAAAGGATAATAAATGTTAACCGACTAAAATTAAAAAGGAAAGAAAAGTAAATCTCACTGGATAACCTAGAAGTCACTTGGGCACCAACATCTTATTTTGAAAATTAAAAACAAACAAAAAGAATTAAATACGTATTCTGCTTTTCCTGTATGATCTACAGTTCAAGGTTACTAAATAACCCTATTTGATGAGGGAAAGTTCACCTTTATACAGTTCATCTAATCAAATGTAGAAGTCATGACAGAACTAGAAAATCACCACTTTGCAATTTCTACTGAAATGCTTAATTCAGGCTAAGAGCATCAATGGATAAAAATCACTGGATGAAAGGCTGACAGAGAACTTGACAACTGGAGGGTCCAGGTGGTCGTTACCTGAACCCACTGATCATCTCAGCATCACTAAAGACAGGGAGCCAGCCAGACCCCGTGTGTCTCCTGCTACGAGGCGATACGAAGTTCACAGCAGCACAGAAGTACCCTTGCCCCAAAAGCTGTACCAGAATCTACTCAAATATTTAGTGCTAACTTCCATTTATCGAAATAATGGAGACAGAGAAACAAACTATGTAAATGATAGGTTTTCTGACTCTCAGCCAGTGCGTAAATCTTTTCACTGTACCACTCCTTACCTCTCTGAGCCTCAGAACCAAATAAAAGCTGCAATTTTAACACCAATTTTCAAAAAGCATCTGTCTCTCTCTATCAAAGCATTCAGAAATGCTCTTAATTTCAAATCTGCCAGCCATTTCTTGGAACTGCTGAATCTTGCGATACTGAGTATCAAAGGTCACTTTCCTGAGCTGTGTCAAAAAGACTGCATGCAATCTTAATCTTGTACATCAAACTGTACTTTAAATGGAAGGGTAATACCAGAATTGAAAAGAATCTTATGGATAAATACTTTGGTAAAGTGAATGGCTTAAGTTCCAAATTTACTTTTGCTCTTCAGATGATGTTTACTTTCAGCAGCCTGCCCTTACAAAGTGTTAAAATGGCCATAAAATTCTGAGAGAAAGTCAAGGCAAACTCTAGCTGACTGACTGACAACGCTGCTGTGAAAGGTCAAGGGTAAAGTCACCTCAATGATGGAGCACCGGAGAGCGGGTCCTCTTCAAGGCCAGTGATGCTTGAGATACCAGATGGTTTCATTTTTCAACTGTGGTCCAAAGAGAGGGTTGAGTTGAGCCAGAATTGCAATCAGCCAACTGAAAGAATAATGGGAGGAACAACAACAAAAAGTGTTGAAATATGTGGGAACAGGACCATTTTCAATTAGGGTGAAAAAATGTGCATTAGTAAAACTTAAGTCTATTCTGTTCAGACCAAACCTTCAATACAAGCTCATAAAACACGGTACTAATAGGCTTTCAGAGGACACACGCTGCCTTCAATTCAATACACATGATATATAACAAAGCATCTCTGTCTTTTCTCCCATTTTCTTAATTCCAAGTATCCACGATTTCCTGAATTCATGTGTTTTTTACCTAATCTCAATGTATCATCATCACAACTTCCAGGCTCGGAAAAAATGGGTGTTATTTTATCCATTCTCCAAATGCTAAGACCCACAACCAATATGACACACCCATTTTTACTGGTACGGCCCAGGTTAAATTTCAGCCCACCATCTCCCAATTAGACTCTAACGCTTGACAGCCCGTTCTCCACTAAAATATATAACACATCTTCTGGGCCCTGGTGGAGCTGAACCAAATGGGCATTTAACCCTCCCTGCTTACTTCAGAATCTAATTAATAAGCTATTCCTCTGTATTATAGACTAATTATGGAGGAAGTGCAATGGTGTTATATTATTACCTCAGGGTTAGACGTGCAAAATAGCACATAACGTTTTCTTATACTGTTCACAAAGTTCTGACTAAAGGTTTTATATCTGATATTGTAACTCATATACCCAGTGACGTCTGAGAATCACTGAGCTAAGACCAAAGCCAGGAACAAAAAGACAGTATGCAAATGCCTGGCCATTCAAACCATTCCATGTTTTACTTACTAAACAAATATTTGATGAGCACCTACCAGGTTCCTGGCCCCAGGGACAAAAGGGAGAAAATGAAATGTCACTACCCACTCAAAGCTCACACAATATAATTAATGCCAGGAAAGAAATAAAGCAAATGAAGGAGCAGAGCATGGAGGTGCGAAGGGGTCCTCCTTGAGAGGATGGTCAGGAAGGCCTCTCCAAGGAGGTGCCACTTGAGCGGGGACCAGAATGAAGCAGAACACACACTGCTTTTAATTCCTATTCAAAAGAGAGGAACTTCAGAATTTCTCTCTTTTTGAGGTGAGGGGGTGTGGTAAACAAGCCCAGCCTCCACCTGCTAACCTGGGCGAGGAGATTTTAGCAGCATAATCCTGTCCTGCTATCTTCCTTGCATGGGATACAGGGAATTGCTTTCTAGGGAAATGGGAAATACACGGCTCCAGTAGTATCCTAAAATTGTAGGACTTGCCATTCCCTTATAAGAGGGGGGACTAGCCAAATTCAAACAGATCACTGTGTGGTTGGATCTCTTCTCTTCCATTCGCCGTTATTTTCAGAACTCTTCCCATCAAAGGATCAAACAAACAGCCGATTCTGCTCAGCAATGACCAGGCTGCCTGCGGCCGCACCAGCAGCCTGCACCCACAGAAACAGTGCACCCGTCCTCCCCACCCAGCCCCACAAAAGGTGGCTTTGTGACAGGAAACATGACACCTGAGGAAACCAGGCCAAAACAGATACCTCAAGCTGACTCACTTGATAAACAAAAAGTGAATTCAGATGAGATCCTCTGATCTGTTCTTAGAACTAGAGTATTAAACACAAATAAAAGACCAAAGGCGTGCAGTTGATTTAACATCTGACACAGTCAGGACAGAAAGGGGAGGACGGCAGAGGCAGACACACTGGAAAGTGCTGTGGCTGCAGTGGACACTAATGGCGCTGCGCTAAGAGTCATGGAAAATTCCACACAGACCCAGGATTTCCCCAATCCCAGCAGGCAATAGACGCTGACTATAAAACAGTCGTCTGTCCTTTCGTAAGAGACGGAAATAACTGGTCAATGCTAGAAATCTAAATAAAAAAACATGTTAGAGCATAAACTAGCCTATTTTCTTTCTTCACCAAAAATGTATACCGAATAAAAACACCCCCTCGCAGCACTCTCTCTGATGTTATATAGCAGTGGTTCTCAATCCTGGCTGCACATTATAATCACCCAGGGAGCTTTTTAAAAATACGGATGCTCTAGTTCACATGGAAACTTCCTTTTAATTCTCCCATAATACAGTTAAGGAAACTGAGGCAGAGAACGGCTAAGTGATTTGCCTGTGGTCACCATCTAATGAGGTGCTAGTAGCCCCTCAACCAGCAATCCAGCCAGACTAAGGTTCTCACTACAAGTCACCTTCTGAAATATTCTGCCAACATTTCAGAAGGTATTAATTTAGCTAAATCTAAACTGTCTGGGAGTTGAGGAAAAAAAGAATCCACCCCCTGATTATGAAGTCCATCACAAGCCTTTGGTACCTGAGGTAAAGGGGAAACATCCGAAAGCAAGAATGAAGTCCACGTGGCTGGCTCACATTAGTATTCAGCAACTTTGAATTTAATTTTACAAACTATTTTTCATGTTTCGATTCAAGTAAAGCATCTCACTTAAAAACAACAACAACAACAACAAAAACCCAACAAAGCACAGTTCAAGAAAGTTCCTTAGGAAATGGCACAGGCCAGTTCACTTGAAATTTCATGGAGGAATTCTCCCTCTGACCAGCTGAGCTCAGTGCCTGCTCTTCTGACTCCTGCCTGACTTAAAATTTCCCTTTAAAGTGGAGAAACACGATAGAGAGCTGGAAGGAAAAAAAAAATCCAGTCTGAATTGGCGGAAGAGGGTGGAGGAAGAGATCGTATTCCAATGAGTCTGTTACTTCATGTGTCCAAGGGAAGAGAACGAAATGTACCCCTCATATTTGCCCGAACTGTTCCACACCTCCAAAACCTGAAGCTCAGCCTAAAAACCAACCATGGGAGATGATTCGAACAACTGGGGCCGCTATGGTAGAGGAGCATCTTTCTGCAGAACTGGAGTGGTCCAGAAGTCAAGTCCATGTTCCTAAATCTAAGGATGCGGAAACTAAGTCCCAGGGAGCTTACTTGCCCAGAGTGAATCAGCGACAGGGCGGGAAGGAGAACCCAGGGCTCCTGAATCCTACTAGATCAGGCTGAGGAAAATCAAGCAGCCCAGGAGTTCTGATCTATCCCACAGTCATTTACCAACGCCGTGCTCGTGTCAGGCTCTGAGGAGGCAAGGAGGAATCGATGAGGGGGCCACCCCCACCCAGGGGCTCCCGAGCTTGTGAGACACCTACCAGAACAGGCAGTAGAGTGTGCTTTGATAGATTCTGCAAACACCCCTGGCCACTTGTCATGCGCTCAGCTCTGAGTTATTAGAATTCTCCAAGCATAGAGTACGCCCTCTCCCACAGAACAGGCTATCTCCGGCGCTCTCAAATCTTGCTTTGTTCTTTTGTTCCACATTCAGATATGAGAACAGGGAACAGAGGCATGGTTACTTCCCGGTGACGCACGCATCAAGCAGATGACTCCCCAGCTTCCCTGTTGGAACAGGGAAGTCTGGCAGGGACTTCTCTTCTGAGCCACTGCTCCTCCAGCAAGGGCCATGACAGGAGTGACCTCTACCAGGGGGCTCCGTGAGACAGCAGAGACACAGGACAGCAACTCACCCTACCTCCACCGAGCTGACCTCTGCCACATCCCCTCATCTCTATCCAATGACACAAATTCTTCTGAGGGCAGCAGTGTTATTAGATGCTATTAGGAAATACAGGATTCAGTATTAGGCAGCGGTGGATTTTAATTTCAACTATACCGAATATTAGTGGAGTGTCTCCAGGCAAGTGACCTTACCACCCTGAACCTCAGTTTCCCCTTTTGTAAAATGAGAGTAATATCCTCTGCCTCAAGATGTTAAGAAATAAAGAAACAATATAGGAAAGTGCTCTGGGGAGCAGGTGACGAATAGATGTTTAATAAATACTAGGCATTCCTTTTTACCCTGAGACAGCTGATGTATTCAAGCCACGGAATGAAATACAACCTGCACTTTACAAGGGAGTTTCTCAGGTAGCACTGAGTCTCTACCTTCCCCCGCCCCCCCCCACCTCTGTGGCAGGCAGAATTCTAGGGTGTTTCCCCAAGATTCCCAGACCCTGGCGTACACACCCTGTCGAAACCCAAGCAGTGAATATGATGAGTGGTCACTCTTGTGGTTAGATTCTAAGACACAGCTGGCTTTGAGAAAGGGAAATTATCCCGAGTGGACGTGACCTCATCGGGTGAGCTCCTAAAAGGGACAGGGCTCTCTCTCTCCCTGACAAAAGGCGTTGGAGCCTGTGCATTACTTACAAGTTTGTTGCAATCGGCTCAGGACATACCTACCCTTCAGTATGTGCTGTGTGATCGACTGAATTCCTTTTATCCGCCTTTAAAGTGAGCACAATGTTAAGCTGTCTCAGTAGGAGCTGCAGGGACACTGCAGGTGGGATCTGGAAGTTGGCGGAGCGGGCGTGGGGGCGTTTGGCAGGGCCTGTACAGGCTCTGGCCCAGAATGTGGTTCTTTGATCTTGGAGTCTCAGCCTGGAAATGACCTTCCTGCAGCCCTCTCCACACGGAAGCCAGAGCCCCTGCACGGCCGATATGCTTTGAAGGCCTCCGGCTCACACTGGCACAGGGACTCCACTACACATGCATGCCACTGGTCACCTGCCCTCCTGCCTGGACTGCAGAGGGGTGGCCTACTGCCTGCCCAGAAACTCCAGACAAACGCCAGCCTGGTCAAACCAATGAACCTCTCTGCTGTCAGGTGGGCTGAAACACACCTTCTCTAATGAGGGCTGAATCCCTTCCAAGTTTGTCCTTTCTTGGGCCTCCCTCAGACTTAGAGTACCATATAAAATTTCCTTATATCTTGCTGTTACTCTTTTATCATCATTAATAATTACGTTAAATTTCCCCGATCTAACCTAGTGTGTGGTTTTCAGTTCCTTAATGGACTCAGACTGCTACAGGATGAGGCAGATTTTACACAAAGGAGGCTCTCTGTTGCTGGTTTTGAAACTGGAGGGGCCACACGACAAGGAACGTGGTGGCACTGAATTCTGCCACAGCTAAGGGA